GAAATGGCTCCTCTGTCTATAACACACCCAAGAGGAATCTGGGTTCACTGTGACAAGGGGCACAAAAGTTGGGGCCTTCCTATCAACACATACCCTACACATGTCCCCCTGTACCTCCACCCAGCTGCTGAGCAGGACCAGTGGGACAGGGCTCAATACTGGAAGAAAGCCACAGTGTTTAGTGGGGGGATTTGCAAGCCTTCCCAGTCCATGCATGGGTGGGCCATGAGTGGTCTTATAGACATGAAGGCTTTGAACCTCTTTTCAAGGGAAAAAAGAGATTCCATATGCCATTCTGGAGGACAAAAGTTTTTTAGAGCAGTAAAAATACTTTATATGACATTTTAATAATGGATATCTTTGTCATTATATTTTTGTCCAAACTAAGGTGAACTGTGGGCTTTGGTGATTATGATGTGTCAAAGCCCGTTCATCCTTAAAAATAAAAAAGTACCACTCTGAAAAATAAAAATAATGACTATGCATATGTGTGGAGACAGAGTATATGGGAAGTTTCTGTACCTTCCTGTCAATTTTGTTGTAAATCTAAAACTGCCAAAAAAAATCAAAAGTCTTAAAAACAAGAAAACTCAGATGTTTCTGGCAAAACTTTGGTTTCAGTTATATACTTATTATTGTGTGTGTGTGTGTGTGTGTGTGCTGGATTGTGGTGTAAAACATGTTATAGGTCAAAAAAGTTTGCAATCCACTACAGTTAAGTTACATTGGCAAGTAAAAGCAAAAATTAACCTCAAAATATACATATATGTAAAATATTTCTGACACAAAAATTGTAAGTTCAAATTTCTTTGTTCATAAATACATTTTTATCAGAACACATCCACGTTGTCCATCTATCGACACCTGCTTTTGCAAGACAAAGGCAGGGTGGAGTAGCTAGCTGCAAGAGACGCTATGCTCTGCAAGGCCTAAGATATTTACGACAGGGATCTTTACATAAAAGCACACCAACCCCCTGAAACTGAATTATTAGCCCTCCCACCAACACAAGCAGTTTCCAAATGCAGACACAATGCATTCCAGAAACACGAAATGCAAACTCATTAAGTCCACCAGAGTTAAGGATGTAAACACCTCCTCCACCACAAAGATTGCACCAATCGTGCCCATTCTTACCTCAGGAATGGGGAAAGTTTTAGGCCCTTCATTCCTTCACTGCCATTTACAACTGGAGATGCTGATGGGATATAATTTCCAATTTCCCAGCAGCGTTATTACTTTACCTTGATGAACTGTAAACAGCAGGCCACTTTATGCCTCTTCCTAACTGGTATCAGAGCCACAGAGTACAAAATAATAAATTTTCGCTGGGTTTCTTGGCAAGGAGCTATATATATGTGTAATTTCAGCCTTCATCTCCCAATTTCCTTCATTTATCAGAAATGGTGACAAAAAAGACTCTAATTAGATAATTCTAATCACAGCAAACAGGATGTGATGGAAGACTTCAGAATCACTATCTGTTCCTTGCAAAACAAAACAGATAGGCTCTTCTCCCAGCAGGGGCAGGAGATTTATCAATAGACAAAAGGATGCAAAAAGCCAATAGATAAGGTGTAATTAAAGATCAGGCCTATACATTTTACACTGACAAAAATTTAATAGGATTCACAGGTAGAAATTCAGCGTTTAAAACTAGAGTATCATTATGAAAAGAATACCTTTCAGTTCTGTAGGCAACAACATTGCATAATACACAGATTTGTTATTAGGATGAATACTCCATGCCTCCAAGCACTTTCATACAAAAATTTGAACTATTCAGTGCTAGAGTGATTTGCAAAGTGGTCTATCTTCTTCAAGCATTCCTTAATTAGCTCCAATACATTTTCCATATATTGTTCAGCACCAAATTGTCTTTCAGAAATAACAATCCACCTATCTCATTTTGGGTAGCTGTCAGAAACACAATCCAAAGAGTTCTACGTATTCTTGTAGGCTTTTTTTTTTTTTTTGGCCCCTTAAAATGTAAAGAAAACTATTTCCAATGTAACATTCAACATAGTTTATAACAACGTTCTCTTTTCTTCACTGGCTCAAAGGCTAAAAGTGAAAATAAAAATAAATGGAACTACAGAAATACGGTAGCGGGCTGAAATATACTTAACTAACAAGACGCGATTGGAAAATACAGTTGCATTCCTGAAATTCAAGCATAATCGGTCGTTTTGATATGTCGTGCTTTGTAATATTTAGCAGCCATTTAGCAACCCAAGACTAGGCGTGTATTTTCCACTCTCTAAAATCACAGCCGCTGGGAAAAGCAAAGAAAAAGCCGCATCTCTCGGAAAATTACAAGTTTGGTACAATAACTCATTAACAAGCAAAGTTCAGAAATAAATGCAAATTGAGGAGGGGAGCAGGTGGGAGAGAGAAATTAAGGTATTCATAACCTTGAGGAAAAACAAGCTAGAATATTCCAACTTTTAGTGAACTACAAAAGGTTCGAACAAACAGAAATCAGGCGTGAAAGTGATTAAAAATCGTGCTTTCAAGTGCATTTAATGGGCTGTTAACTGACCTGTGAGACTCTGGTCAGAACAAGCCAACTTACCCGAGTAGGCCCAGTACGGGTCGCCGGAGGCCTTGCGCCTGCGGATCTGCGCGGAGCTGCCCTGTCTGTTCTCGTGCGGGGCCCCCACGTAGCCTTCTGTCAACGCTGGAAAACAGGGAGAGCTGCCGTGAGTCAAGATCACCACCCGCCCGACCCAGTAAAGGTGTCAAATGCACGCATCTAGGGGATCTCCTAGAAGCACACATCTCGGGGATGGCTGGATAGAACTTACCAGCTTCACCGAAAAACAACTACAGGAAAAACTAGACAAATTACCACCAGTATTATTACTATTAACAATAGCTTACAATGAGCCTCTTCTCTGTGCCATGAACCTAAGGTGCACTAAACACGTTACATACGTTACCTTGTATAATCTGCAAACCACCGCCAGGCAGCAGATTCAACATCCCAATAATGGGCCTCTTCTTTAACACACTGAAGCTTAGAGTAATTTTAACTTGCCCAAGGTCATACAACTAATCGGCCTGGAACCTGCGGTTTTGGTTCCAAATACATGTATGAGCCTAAATCCTAGGTGCAAAGGCTCTCCAGCCTTACCTGGCCTTCACCCAACAAGCGGTGTAGGGAAAATGGAGTTACCCAGGCTCCCTTGCCGGATATCCGGTGCCGAGTGACTCAGCTATATTTTCCCGCATGCGCAATACCCATGTGCCGGTATACACTGAGGACCTGCGCTGCGCAAGCGCAGAGGTTACCCCGTAGGTCGTAGACGGCTAGATGCCGGCTTTGTTTACATAAGGCGGCCAGGACTTTCTGCAGGTGCGTACTCCTGTCCGCATTAAAGGCATGTCAGAGATCCTATGCTCCGCCAGTGTCCTTCAGTCTGCCCAAATCCCGAGTGAATGGGCCAGAACTTGGGCGCTTGCAGGGGTTATTCCATCTCTTACAGATGGAGGAATAAAGGCTCAGAGACACTAAGTGGTCCCAGGTCACACAGCTAAGTAGGCAGCCGATTAGGGAACCGAACATAAGCCTGCATCAAAGCTCGGGTCTCTGCCATCCAAAAAGCACAGTCTGAGGCCTGGGAGACACCCCGTGGTGAGTACCAGTCCTCCACATACTTTATAGACTCCAAGCAGACCTGTTGTCTCTGAAGATGTGAAACTTGAAACCCTCCAACGCCAGAAATGCTCGGTAAAGAAATACTGCTTAATGATTGTCTTTTTTTTTTTTGAATACTTAAAGTGAATCCAATCTTCTACCCCATTATGGAGAGCTTCCATCTGTCTGCTATAGTGTTCAAAGCCCTGCCCTCCCAGCCACTTCATGGATGCAAATTTCTTTTATGGCGAACCCACACCTGAATGCACTGATGTGTAAGTCTCGCAGGTGCCCAGAATCCAAAATGAATGGGAAGTACACTTCAAACAATACATCCCAGCTGTCTATGTTACTATTTAAATGCACCCAAACAAAATCAAGTGTGCTTTTGAAAAGCAAGGAAAATGGTTAGCGGAACTGTACATCCAGTTTAAGACTAGGATGGCACCAGGAAAGCACAACATAGTCTCTTTTCCAAATTAGTCCAAGTTGTAATAATAATAATCTCACCATGATGGCATTAGCTTTGTTGACAATGTGACAGTCACGAAGAAAAACAAGGAAATATGTAAAGCACTTTATGCTTGCACGTCCATTGCAAAGACTGCCTTTAAAAGAAATAATTTTTGAACAAAAGCTGTTCCACAGAGATGAGCCCTTCATAGGGAAATCAGAATCTTGTAAAATCCAATCTCACAATAACAAAGTAAACCTGGTGTTGTTTATGTCTGCGCTTTGGTCCTGAATGACAAAGTCAAAACCTAAGTTACTACCCATTTTTAAAGTATGATGAAGGTTCAAGTACCTTTGCTCCAGTCCATCCTATACTTCTGCAGATGAGCCATTCAGAGTCCCAGGAAGTTGACCATTCTAAGCTTCTGGGATCAAAAATAAAATTTCCCATCTACCAGTCTCCTAATCTATTTTTTCCCTCCACTGAAGCACACTTAAGTAAAAAACTGGTCAGCTTCCCTGTCTGTTCTTAGCAACTTGTGTTATCTTCATTATGATTCTATGAGGTTGGTATTTTTGGCTCCATTTTACAGACCAGGAAACTGAGGTTCAACCATACACCCTAACGAAAGCCACATATATAACTCCTATGGTCAAGACATTTTTTGTTTTACTCATTATCTTGATACAGAGAGGAAGAACTATAGGGGAATAATTATTTAGAGTAAACTAGCTCTAAGAAGCACAGAAAACTGAAACATGAAAAAGATTCCTAACTGTTCAGCTTATTTGTTTTCTATGCATATAGGAACCATTTTATGTGCCTGTTTATTATGCTTCTTAGAGCTAGTTCACTCTAAGTTAAGTATTCCCAAATAGTGTTTCCTCTTTGTATCAAGACAATGAATAAAATAGTAACCCCATTCCCAAACATACCCCTGGGCCAGGGGCATGGTTTACAGTGATCCTCTGGCGTAAGCTAAACAAAGCCTACCCCTTGGAGCTGGCAAGATTGTAGGCAACAGGATGTGGTTGTCCAATCCATGAGTCATAACCTAGCAGGTGGAGTAGGGTATGACGATTACCAAAACTGCAACGAATTTCCACTATGTTACCAGGCATTTAAAGAGTGCTATATGCTCAGGGCTGAACAAGATGCTCTGCTCATAGTATATGTGTATACTATGTATACCCATATAACAACCCTACGAGGTTGGTCCATTTAGCCCCAGTGATATGTATGTTTAGGAAAGGGGACACCGGTCCATCGGAGACATTCTTCTCTCTTGCTGAAAGTGTCGTGACACAAGCTGGAAGCCTCAAGGGGGTGGTTGAGGTCAAGCAGGGGATCAGCAGAGGAGCTCAAAAAAAAGCCAGAGAAAGCAAAATCTATGGATCAATTCCGTTGACAAAATTGCAGCCCAGGGCAAACCAACTTGAAATCACCCCTCTGGGAGGCTTTTTATTTACATGAACCAACTACCTCCCAAAGCTCACTGTGCTATCTCTTGTACGCAAAGATCGCACAATGGCTACAGCGTGACCTTGGTGACCTTAACGTAACCTTGGTGACCTTCAAACGAGTCACTACAAAACTGTATCATCAATTTCTCCGGGCATAAAAGGCCATTGTTAGACTAGAGCTTAGCCACCCTGGTTGCTTTAAAACAAAACAAACAACAAAAACCAACAAAAAATCCTATGCCCTGGACCCTACCTCCAGAGATTCCGATTTAATTGCTCTGAAGTTGGTCCAAGATATCAGGACTATTTTTCAAAAAGTTCTCCAGGTGATTCTGTTTTGCAGCCAGAGTTAAGAGCCACAAACTTCTCTGCCGAGTGAGACCCGAGGTTCTGTTCAGCTGCGTGTGACAATTGTCAGCTCTTACCCTCACAGCCTGTAACTTGACAGGCTAAGTCTTAACACTAGTAAAGAGCTGACCAGGCAGAAATGAGGAGCCAGCTGCAGGAATCCCACCAGGGTGGTGTCAACCTGAGCATTCAGACAGACAAATCTGAACTGTCAGAGTTCCAGCCAGAAAACTCACAAATGAACGAAGGTATGAAAGTGAAGAAAAAATGAGGTTATGCCCTTTACAAAAGATCACACAAGAATCACAGTCTCTAACACCAGTCTCTTTTTTTTTCCTGAAAATGAGATGCCTTTCCTTTCCCAGAAACTCGAGGATATCAGGGTGCGACAAAGGATGGCAAAGCCCACCAGCAGCGATGTTCAGTGGCTGCATTACCCATCCTGCCGGGAATGCAAAGCTACAGGATCCAGAGCTTCATCAGGTAAGTGGGAAAACCTCCAAGTACTTAGAAATAGACCCTGTAAATCCCCATAGCCGTTAACTGGACTAGATATGACTATAGGTTTTAGGGTCCTATACCTGCCAGTTCTGCAAGCCCCGTCAACTCTTAAGTGAAAAAGCAAGTCTACAGAGGATACATCCAGTCCGAGAACAAGGAAGGTGCATGTCAGAAGGTCCTCCCCTGACACTGCAAAGTAACAGAATCCAAACCCGGAAGTGCAGATGTTTTCCCAGCCATCCATGTACATCCCACCGTGGTGGAAGGCACCTGTGCTAAGCAGGGGAGCTGCCTGTGTAACGGGGGTTCACCGAGGACAAAGTGAGAGGTGTGGCTGAGCTGCATACAGACTGGAAGTCGCAGAGGGGGTGGGGTCGCTCCAGAGAAGGTGGGTTAGCCCTGTCATCAGCACTCTCTCCAAAGTACTGAAGAACCATGTGGGATGTACCCAGCAAGGTAAGAATGGGCAGGAAAATCTGCATCTGAAGGGCACGCTGCATGGTCTCCTAAGGGCTCTGAGCTCCCTGGGATGAGGGGCTGTCAGCCTAACTCCCACGACAGAGCCTGGCATACAGTATGTGTTCAGTAATGAGTGAGTGAATGAGTGAATGAATACAGGAACAGGAGAAAGGCTGAAGGTGCCTGTGTTGGGGACTAAGTGTACACATAGCCCTTTGTGTGTGTGTTGGTGTGTGCTCTTCTGAGCCATAAGCAAAAACACTAACTTCTCCCCTACTGTCTCGCTTTTTAATCACTGCTCACCTATCGGAAACAGCAAGCACCTAAAACATGAAGCTGGAAGGAACTAGCTTGAGTATCTAATAAGCACTTCTTCAGACAGCAAACTCAGAAATGAACTGGGTGGCCAAGGACTTGATCACCCCGTCTCCAGATTTCTTCTGTAACATATAAACTACTCAGTGACGATGACGACATTTATTTTCTCCCTTGTATTCCATCTATGTCAGTAGTGTCTGATTTCTTTCTCCCTTAAAAAGACCATAATTGTGTATTACTGGCACTTGCATGATTTAAAACAAAACAAAACTTCAAGTCTCTTCCTCAAATTTATTTTCATCATATGACAAGGTTTTCTTTTAAAAAACAACTTTTTAAAATTATTACTTGAACAGCAGTCAAAGATGTATATTGAATATATTAAGCAACATAATATTTTATTGGCAAGGAGCAGAGATTTGCAACAAGAAGCACAATCTGTGGTTCTCAAGTAAAGATACAGACTCAGCACACCAAATTCAATCAATTTTAATACT